AAAAAAAAAAAAAAAAAAAAAAAAAAAAAAGGTCCCGAAGGTTTTTGCAAGGCCAGGTCATGAGCATGGCATTCAAGTCTAGGTGATGTGGTTTTGCAAGACTGTGTCTTCGTAGTGTCCCTGCTGGCCTGATGGTAAGGAGTCCCCAGTCAGTTGATCAAGATCCCTAGGTCCTAGGCTTCACCTGCCCTTTCTAGGTCACCTGATGCTCCACAGTGCAGCTCCACAATGCTCAGAGGTTGGGTAGGAAAGGGGAGGGCGGCAGCCTAGGGCATTTCTCTTGCTAGGTCAACAGCTGATACTTTTCAGCATAATTTCCTCCTCACTGAGCGTAAGGCCAGGTATAACTTTACCTGCTTCTGTGAAAATATTGGAGTTAAGTGATGTTCTGGTAAAAAAAAAAAAAACTCATGATCAAGGGAAAATAGAAGTCCAAACAGGATTGGAAGAATAGGGGAGGTTACAGAGGGCAGGTAGAATCTCTCCGAGTTTGGAGTCAGATAGACCTGGCTTTGAATCCCAAGTTATCACTTCCATGTTTCTGCCTTTGACCACATTTCTTATATATTCCTTATTCTCTTGTCTCCCCATCTGTGGATTGAGACAGTAGTACTCACTAACAAGTTTGGCTGAAGATAAAAGGAGATAATGCATTTAAAGCACCATGCATGTATCAAATTTCAAAAGATTGTAATTTTTAGGGGGAAGAAATCAAAGAGGAGAGGAAGGAAGGAGGGTGAAAGGGAAAGATGAGGAGAAAATGAAGACAAAGTTGGTCATGATGGGAAATGGAAAAGGGTCCCCTACACCTGTTTAGGGCCTGTGAAGCATGGGCACATACACGTGCAGACAGCTGCTTAATCTCATGTTTGCATGAGGGAATTTGCAGGGGAGGTGGTTGGGGCTCTTGTGAAACAAGATCCATGTGAAAGTCACAAGCACAGAGGATATAACTCATAAAGCCACCAATGTCTGGTTACCCCACATCTCCTCATGTTTTCTGTTTCTGCTGCAGAGAGGAGAGTCTGAGTGGATGGGCAGAGACTGGGGTCAAGTCCTGGCTTGGATGACACTGGGTAAATCACAGCACTTGTCGGTAATTGAGAGTTGTCCCACTTCCTAGGGGCATGGTGAAAATTCATGAGGATGCTTTATGACTTTAAAATAGGCATCCTGGTCAGGTGCAATGGCTCAGGCCTGCAATCCGAGCACTTTGAAAGGCTGAAATGAGAGGATTTGTTGAGCCCAGGAGTTCGAGATCAGCTTAGACAACATGGTAAAACCCGATGTCTACAAAAAGTTAAAAAAGAAAAATAGCTAGTTGTGATAGCATGTGCCTATAGTTCCAGCTACTTAGGAGGCTGAGGTGGGAGGATTGTTTGAGCCTGGGAGGTTGAGGCTGCAGCGAACCATAACCACAACACTGTACTCCAACCTGGGTGACAGAGGGAGACCCTGTCTCAAAAAAGAAAAAGTAGAAATCATCCCTGAACATCTGTAAAATTGAAGTCACACTTTCTTTTGAATTACCTTCCTTTGGTTTTAAAAAATATTGTAGCTGAGATAGCATGTCATTATGTTGAAATTGTGTGTAGTTGTGTTTCATTATCCTTAAATTCCATTTCAAAAAAAAGGGAGTATTACAAAATATTGACTATGAAAATGGGGCATTGACTCAGGGTGAGAACCTCTGTGTTACATGCCTCATCTCTAAGACCTTATTCAGGTCTAACATTGCAGAATCCCAGGCAGCAGCCTCCAGAGCTCAAGCCTTCCCCTCTCGCTGTCCCTCTGCTGACCCATGTCCCCCTAGTTTCCACTTACAGCTCAGGAAAGGGCGCATCTCGAGGATCCTGAGAGTGGAGGTGACCAGGCACAGGGGTCTCGGCAAATGTCTCCAGACTAGAGTCATCTCTCCCATTCAGGAAGCCAGCCCCCATGGAAGCAGTTTAGAGGTCAGGCTCTAACTGCTTGCTGTCCTGCTGGACTTTGAGATTAAGATGGGGAGGTGGCTCTAAAAGGGGAATCCTGAGTGGTGACAGCCCATGGCTTCAGGCAAACCTCAGAGCTGTCTATTGTTGTAACAGTGCCTTCAAGGAGGAGAGAAAGAGAGTGAGGGAAAGAGAAACAGAGAGAGTGAAAGTAGGATGGAGAGAGAGAAGAAGAGAGAAAATAGAAGAAGAGAGCAGAAGGGGAAAGGAAAGAAAGCAGGCAGATAAAGCAAAGGTCATCTGACTAGTTCTGTTTAGTATTCCATCAGGGTTTCATTCGGGTGAGCTTTTCTCTGCAGGAAGTTGGTGCTGGGTGGGGGAGAAGGATCAGGATATGGTCGAAGGGGTCAGAGACTGAGAAACGAGGGATGTGACTAAGAGAGCAAGAAGGGGGATATGCAAGAAGTGAGTGAATAAATGAATTGGTTTTGGGGGTTTTAGAGAAAGAGGGGAAAACAATGAGGAAAGAGCCATTCCAAGGAAAAGCAGAGAGTACCAAATAGCTAGGTAAGGTTCGGGACAGCTGTGAATTCTCTAACGTGTCTGAAGAAGGCCAAAGGTTAAGAGCTGAGGTGTTAGTGTGCCTTATTTTCATTAAAATTTTAATTTCTTAAATTCCCATTTACCCCACTCTGGCCTCCCCCACCTTCAATCCCCATAAGCAACTATTTAGCAAGTTTATATATATATATCCTTTTGTTGGCACGCATTCTTGTAAAGTGTGTATTATTTAGGGTGACTGCAGATTTAATTTACGAAAATATGTGTAATATGTGTCTTTTTTTCTTTTCAGTTAGAGCCACGTCTTTAAGATACAACCAGATTGTGAAAAGTCCATCTCTTCTAGGTTTCCCACTGCTTCACAATGGGGGACCACATACTTTACATGGCAGTGCCTAAGGGGGACAGTGACAAAGGCAACTGCAACTAGGGGGTCAAGGGAGCAGGGATGGATAGATATCATTATCTTGGGTCACTCTGTAGGGGAGACAACTGACTTGGCTACATCCTTCACAAACACCTGCAAAACATCTCTTCCTCCGAATGCCCATAGGAGGTGAAGGCACTAGGTAAGCATAGGGAGTATGCTACATTCGAAGTCATTGTTTCTTTTTGTGTAGGGTTCCAGCTTCTAGTCAATTCTGCTTTGGGAGTAGTATGGAGTGGGCATATGAGCTGGCTGGTCCCCTGCTGCAGAAGCAATCCAAGTCAGTGAGGCCAGGGGACACACAGCATCTCCCTGGGGTACACAGCCTGTCCTGTGGTTGGACAGAGGGGAGAAAATGTTGAGGTCCTGCAGTCTGGTATATGCTCCTCAGCTCTACTGGACTGTGGTCAATTTTGCCTTTGTGAACGCCACAGGCTATATAGTCTTCCTTGAGCTTTTTCTTGGGCTGTAAGATTAGAGATTTTTATGGTGAGAGGCACTCAATATCAAGGGGTCACCTAGAGTGGGGAAGAAAAACAGTGTATTTTGAGTAACTTCTAGAGGAAAAGTGAGAGGTTATACTTCCTTTATTTAAAAGGAAAATAAATTATTCTGATTACCATAATATGTACTTCTGTTAAACAAACTCAAGCCTAGAAGAGCATAAAGAAGAAAGAAAAAAAATCACAACAAATCTGACCATTATATTTTAGTACATTTCCTTTCAGAAATCTTTCTCTACACGTGTATATCTGTGTATACACATGCTGTTTCGGAAACTGAGTCTTCATATTTTTTATTTAACAAGTTCCTTTTCATGGATAGCTATATTTCCTCTAGCATCCTAGGATGGAGAATTTTCTGCATTTGACTAGTTATTTATTTTCTTCAGATAAATTCCTTGAAGAGGGATTCCTAGGTCAAAATGTATGGACATTTTAAATACATCCCAGTAAGATGGCATCAATTTATAATTCAGCTAACATTGCACAAAACTATATTCTAAGATGTTTGTTCTTTTGGACTCTGTAGAATTACATCATATCCACAAAATCTGAAAACTGGATTGAGGAGGAAACTTAGATTGCCCCTAGAGCTTCATTCTCAGCATAGGAGTCATTTGGAATATCATTCCAAGATTCTACCCTAGCTTCACAGATAAAACTCCAATTAAACAGATATTAATTCTGAGTTACAAGTGATAGTAGTTCTGAGTCTGTCTCTTCTCTCTCCTTTGAGCAGATCAGGTATAATTTTCTCAATTTTATGTAAGAATAGAGAAGATGAAGGACTACTTCAGTCTGCACAAATGGTAAATAGGAGGAGAGAAGTCTTTCATTAGGTGGGAAAACATTGAAATTTCTCCTTGAAAAAAATACTTCACAAATGGAGAAACTTGGAAATTCTGTTGTCGTGTTAGTGACTATCAGGGAGGATTTTTGCACACAAGTTCACCAGTGATTTATCAGTTAAGTCCCGAGCATAACTGAACTTCGCTCTGTCCCAGGACTTCTGTCAATGACAGAGCAGAGTGCAGTAAGACTCTGAAGATAATGAACAGCTTTTCCAAAGTAATCTTTTCCCTCTCTTAGCTCATTTAGGAGTTGTGAAATTGAAGGAAAGGAAAATTATTTTGGAAGAATTTCAGGTAAACATATACAATTTACATGCAACTTCATATTACAGGTGTTCCATTTCACAGTTAATGGACTATGAAGAACGGTGTGTGCAGGGTGTTTGGACTGAGGTACAGAGATTGGTAGGTATGTTAAGAAGAGAATAACTACCTAAAGATGTGGCTCAGATACTGTAGCCCTTAGAATTTCATGGAAACTGATTTTCTTAAAAATAATGCAAGGTCAAAGTCCTTGTGTTTATTTACTAGAACTCTTTGGACAAGTCTCATCAGAATTATTGGACTTACTATGTTTTAGAGAGTAACATTCTGGAGAGATCTGGGGACACATGGATTACCTTAGCCTTCCCACTAGGCTGTAATCCCCAAGAGGCCAGAGAGCACATCCATACTGTTCACTGCATCCCAGCACAGTGCCTGGCGCAGAGTGTTCATCAAGGATTGTTCAATAATGTATGTGGTAGAATGATTGACAATTTATGTGGGGAAGATATGTGGTTTGCTAATTTTGTATTTTTAGTAGAGATGGGGTTTCTCCATGTTGGTTAGGCTGGTCTTGAACTCCTGACCTCAGGATCCGTCCGCCTCGGCCTCCTAAAGTGCTGGAACTAAAGCTGTAAGCCACTGCACCCACCTGGATGGGAAGATATGTGTTTAAATGGAGGAGCCTGAAAATACAAATCAACCGCTTTTTTGGTGGAACGCATAGATGTATGGCAAAATCTTCTTGAGCACAGGCCCTTCTCTTAGCAGTTGGGATTTTCTAGTTGTTCATTCTCTTGAACTTTACAACCAAGGCTTAATTATTGTTTTCAATCACAGTAAGATGAGAGTCCTTAGAATTTGGTTCACTATGACCGGGACTGTTCCTGTATGGGGGAAGAGCTGTTCCCGAACTCAGGGCTCTCTGTTACAGTGAATTATCTCACAAGGATGTTTAATTACAGGGATGTTTAATTACAAGGATGTTTAATTATATCCAGTTATTGTAGTGATTATTACAGAATTGGTTCCTTTAAATAATTCAAATTGCAAAAGAAAAATGAAGGAAGGGTGCATCAGATGAGGAGAGACCGTTTAACCACCAAAAAAAAAAAAAAATTCTCAATTAGAAGAAGAAAACAAAATCCAGCTATATGCTGTTTTAAAAAGATACACCTAAAACATAATGACACAGAACAATTTGCAAGTAAAGGAATAAAAAGAAACCTACCAGAGAATTACCACCTCCAAGAAAAGCCAATTAGCAATATCAGTATGAGAAAAAATAGGTTTTAAGACAAAAATAATCATTATAAATAAAGGGGATCATATGTAAAAATGAAAAGAATAATTTATTTGGAGGATTGAACATTTAAACTTATGACCAATAATACAGCCTCAAAATATATAAAGCAAAAATTGATAGAATTACAATTAGTAGAAACTTACATAATCCTAGAAGATTTTAACTTACTTATAAATTACCTCAGAAAATGATATTTTAAGCAGCAAAAAAGATGAACCTCATTAATGCAAAAATCCTAAATAAAAGCTTAGCAAATTGAACCTAATAAGGTTTGCAAAAATATATCATGTGTAAGTGAGGTTCATCTCAAGAATGCTAGGGCACTTTAACCTTAAATATATATTCTCTAAAATAATTTTCTGTGATAATTTACATATTAATAGAGAAAAGCCACATGAACATATCAATAGATGTAGAAAAAAATTGGAGAACTTTTAACATCAATTAAGATAAAAATTATTATAAAACTAAAAATATAAAGGAATATCTTTCACATAACTAAGGGTATCTGAAAACATTGCAGGGGCCCAGCAGCAGTTCTCTCTGACCTACTGCTCTCCTGTCTGGTCCCTCATTCTCTCCAGATGGTGGCCATAGAAACTGGAATCTTACTTCCCCAAGGCGTCATAGAAACTGGTCTTCTTGCTCCAAAGTCAGCTTTATAGTCTAAAAATTTTACTGTAACTTTACACCAGCCTTTTTGTGTAAAAGCTGACCATAAATAACCTGACCTATCTTGTTTGACTATAGGTCATAAGACCCCCTTTCCAGAGAGGGTTCTGCCCCATACCAGAAGGAAGGAATGCTGAGACGGATTCCTACACAGAGAGACCAAGAAGAATCTAAACAGACAGGCCTTGGTAGGTTTCCTCATTCAGCCTATCAGCATTAGATTCAATAATTTTCCTACATGGCTCTTCATATTTTGTTGAAACTAAGCATAAAAACGGGGTTTCCTCTGTATCTTTGGGGCTTCATTCTGAAGGCTCCCATGTCACATAAAACTATAATCAAATAAATTTGTATGCCTTTTCTCCTATTAATTCACCGTTTGTCAGTGACTTTTAGTGAACCCTCAAAGGGCAAGGCGGCAGCTTTCCTTTGCCCCCTACAACACCTATGTGATGCCTTATATGTGATAGTGAACTTTTTGTAGCATTCTTGTTAAAGTCAGGAACAAGGAAGAATGCCCTTAATACATTTCTATTTAACACTGTCCTGAAAGCCCATGAAATAGATCAAGAAACAGAAATAAGAGGCATA